ATATTGCAATGAGAATTTTTGCAAACCTTTTAAACCTCAGTAGAAAAATTGTACCCACAGCTCAACATTAAGAGCTGAATAATGCTGCCCTTTTGGACTTCAAACCCTCTACTCTGCTTATTCCACAAATGAACACCTAAACTCTTGCTCATAATCTGCCTCGATTTCGCGACAATCCACTTCGAGTGGCTCGAGCCCTTTGGCCCTTCAAACAGGCTCCCGATTTTACTCCAGTCGACCGGGTAAAACGCCGTGGGGGGCATTATCGTAAATTTGTACTCCGGCCGCCCGGCCACCCTCGACACGACCCTCGACACCATGTAAGGCCCGTTGTGACCCCATTTATTCCCATCAAACGTTAGCGCAAATTCTTGAATGAACTTGTACAGCAAAGGGTGGCCAGCATCGAAGATCATCACAGCATTATTCAACCGGCTCCAAATTTTCGTGGCCCGATCAACCGTTTGGGCCCCAATTGAGTTTTTCAAGCCTTCGAGGCTTTTCAAGACGATCACATCAGTGTCTAAATATATCCCACCAAATTTGTACAGCAAACCTAACCGGAGCAAATTCGAAAGGTTCTGGCCTAAAGGGACCTCGCCGGGATTCACATTCCCACGCATTAACTGGTTGTACCATTCCCCAGCAGGTGTACCCTTGAAGAGGTAATCAAAATCAGGCGAAAAGGCGGCGACTTTAAAACCCTTGTCCAAAAGGGGTCTCAAGATTTGAGTCCCATTGTCCGAATCGAGCGAGTTCGAGGCGATTATCAGACAACAAGAGCCATTTTGGTGGGCATTGAATAAGCTTGTCACGGCAAAAACCTCTCTTTCCCTGAAGGAATCTGAGGAAGATGAAATCCATGTCATAAAAAACCGGAGCTTGCAGCCGCCGCCGGCGAAAAAATCCCTCACTCTAGCTTCGAAACCCTTCTGCCCCTTTTGTTGTCTGCTTGTGGGGACCACCAAGTTCCGATTTTTATGCAGATGGGCCGCCGATTTTGCGGCCGGGGCTTCGTCCCTGACCGAGTAGAGGGCGGAGGAGGAGAGCTTCGCCGAGGAGGGTAAAGAGAAGAACTTTCTTGATTTTCCGGCGACGATTGCCGAGGAGAAGGTGGCTGGCTCCGGCGGGATTTTGGCCGGGATAGGGACCCGCGTGCAGAATATGCTGGCGCTGTTGTAAGCTAGCAGACAGATGGAGCAGACAGAAAGAAGGGCGCAGAAGGATCTCTTGCTCCTCTGCAAATGGAAAGTAAGCTGAGATAAAAACTGCTTAGTGAAATTTCTCATTGTCTGTATATTTTAGCAAAAAAAAAGGGTTTTTTTTTTTAGCTGAGTTCATAGTTGAAAAGCTTGGATTTTTTCGCCATGAGATTTGCAACTGATAGAAAAGGGATAAAAATTTTAAAAATGAAAAAGGCAGAACAAATAGTGTGGATCGAATTCAAAGTTCAAACAGCTCCTTTTCAGCTGGGCTAGCTGGCGGCAAAAAGGAACGAAAACAAACGAGCACGAAAATTGAAAGAGGGATTTTTTTTTGTTTCGAGGTTCTTGGATGTGTGTAACTCTTTTTGAATTCAGAGTTATTTTAACCAGAAAGGTACCTAGTGGAAGTATAAAATAATGTAAATATGTTTTGTTCAGTGCTTATGAATGAGTGAAAATATGGTGGTGGCAAAAGGTGCAATTAGTGAAGGATGTGCAGTTGGGTTGGTGGGCCACGAGGATATGATGGGTAAGAGTAGTGTGTCCCCAGTGTTGTCACAACTAGGAGTAGGGCGGTTCGCAAACTAAAATTCGTTCGAGTTTATTCGTGTTAGACAAAAGTTCATCTGTTTATAAATTGTGTCGAGTTTGAACATAAAATTAGGCTCGTTTAATAATTGAACGAATACGAATTCGTTCGCGAACGTTCGATAATATTTGCGAACATTAATTTAACATAATTTTATTTTATTCTATATGTTTTACATAATATTTTTAATAAAAAATAAAATATAAAAATATTTTTATTTTATTATTTTATTTTCGAGTTCGAACAAATGAATTTCGAGTTAATCAAATATATTTAAAAAAATTATGTCTTAAATTATTCTAACACGAACGAACTCGAACTTTGACGAACAATTAAACGAACGAGCTCAAACACAATTTTTTGCTCGAAAAATAAACAAACTAACATGAACATTGTTCGACCATAAACGAACACGAGCTCGAAACGCTCAAGCTCGGCTAGTTCAGTTCGATTACAACACTAACTTAGGGTTTAAGCAGCCTAGCCTTTTTTTTTCGAGAATGATAAACTCCATTAATAAAAACACATAATTACATACTAAACAATAGCTAACAGTCGAATAAATCAGTTGTCCAACTGAATCTAGTTGGGAGAACTAGTGGTGGTAGCCTAGAACCAATCTAAAACAAACACACAGCACACACTAAAATTAAAAACTAAACCCCCGCAAGTGAAAAATACAACTCCCAATAGAATAATTAGGATACAAAAATACACACAAAATAGGGAAAAAAAATCTAATAAACTAGAATAATCTAGAATAATGCCCTCTCCACTAGCCGGAAAGCCACCCCGAATCGCCACCACTCGAACCAACTCCAAAGGCAATCAACCAACTGGACAAAACAACACAAGGCCCAACGCAGGATCGAGAAACTCCTCCTCCTAGGGCTAACTCGACCCGCACCACCACTCCCCCACCACAACAATCGGCAGCCGCAACCAAGAAATTGCCCCTACTGGAGGGATCCCCATTCCAACAACAAGGATTGTCGGATCAGGGAAAAATCGAGGCGCCGACCTCAACCCCGACAACTCAAAGCAGCAACTGACACCAGTCGCAGCGAACCTCTGGCCGCCATTGGACTCCACACAACTAATCGCCATGGCATCCAGAGAAGGACAAGGATAAAGCCCACATAGAAAAGGAAATGGAACTGAGAGCCCGTCGGCGGGTGCACAGCCTGAGTGGGAGTCGGTCAGAAGTCGGGCGACGTCGCTGGGGTGCAAGGCACCCGTCGGTGAGGAGGCGCTGCAAAATTGGAAGGGGATTTGCTCTGAATTAGAGATTTTGTTTGGATTTGAGGAGAGAGAAAAGTTTGACAGTTGAACTTGTTAACTTAACGAGTTAGTAATTGAGTTTGAGTTCAGCTTGTTTATCAATATTAACGAATCGAACTTAAATCTTACAAATCTGAAATATAAAAAGGTATATAAAAAAAAAAACTTTTTGAATCTCATCGAGTCGAGTTGCTTACTAAACGAGCTCAAATTCGAACTGACAAGCGGCTTATCTCGTTTTACAGCTTTAATCACAACTACATCTTTTCATTATCTTTTATTTCCTTGGTATAAATTAATAAACATGTTGCAGTATTAAGTAATGTTAATCATGTCACCTATGGGTTCATTTACCCTTTTGCAAATAGAGTTGTCAAAGTCGCATCTTTCTCTCTTATGTTCTTTCCATTTTCTCTGAACTTGCTTTTGCAAATCGAAATTTAATCTAATCAACGAGCCATATACACGCATGATTCAAATCAATGATTGATTAAAAGATTGATCGATTTGAAGGCTCGTCCGGGTTAGGGCTGCAAACGAGTCGAGACGAGTCGAGCATTGGCCTTATCGAGCAGGATTGAATTTTTTTTTTGAGCTGCTTGAGCTCGAGCTCGACTCGATAAGAAAATACAATGGCTCGAGCTCGACTCGAATTCAAAATGCTCGAGCTCGGCTCGAGTTCGGTTCGAAAATTTTCAAACAATTTTGTCAAATTATATATATAGAAGAGGTATTTCAATAATTTAAGCCGCTCGCGAGCCGCTCGACAATGTAAATTTGGGTTCGAGCTCGACTCGAGTTCGTGCTCGAGCCGCTCGAGCTCGACTCGAGTTCGGTCAAACTTGAGCTCGAGCCGAGCTTTGACTCGAGCGCTCGCGAGTGGCTCGCGAGCCGCTCGACTCGTGTGCAGCCCTAGTCCGGGTTACTGTTCGAAAAAAAAAATGATTAAAAGATATATATTTGAGGTGTTCTTAACCTATAAATACTATAACCAGAACATGAGAATACTTAAATGTGGCCATCATTCACCAAGCTATGTGCATGAAAATGATGCCATGAAAATACTAAAAGTACAACTAAAGTTGGCACAACATTAATACATCATAAATAACATTGACAAGTTCATGAAACTCCGCATGGGATTGCAAAAACCAGGCAAAGAGTAAGATCAATAACAGACACTTCTATAACAATCTATTTTGTGTAAAAAAAAAAATCTTTTTTGTGTATATATTTCAAAAATGCAAATGTTTTTTACCCAGACAAAAGGTATACTGTATACATGTACACAATCTATTGTCATCACACAAACACAAACAAAAAAACGAACAAAAACGAGAAAAATGGCCTCACCTTCACGACGAAAAAAAGGGAAAGGAGGAGGGAACACCCACAACACAACCTCACATCCAAAGCCCATATCAAACTACTATAAGAAAAATAAAAGGAGAATGAAAACCATTATATAAGAATAATTCCTTTTCGGGTGAAAAAAAAAATCGAAGGGTTAAGAAATTCCGGCGAACTTTTTTCGCAAGAATTCACGGTTAGTCGAAGCTGGGGGATCGGCTCCACCTGCCTTCAAGATAATCTTCTAAAGAAATGGTTTGCTCGATGCTACTTGTCGATGCAGAATCCCCATCCACGCCAAGCAATGCAAGATTCAAGTGGGATTGGAGATTAGATTTTGAAAAATTTTCATCGTCTAGCTCGATTTGAGACCCTTCACAAGCATTCACTTGCAATCTTGCCCAATTCACCACATCGACATCCCCTTGGAGAAGCCTTAGAATCTTGCGATAAATAACAAGAGTTTTTCATGTATTTTTACTAAAATTCATAAGAGTGTGGTAAAATTTGATCAACCCTTTAAGTTTAGCCTAATTACACAAGCCAAAAGTACTCAACATGTTTCGAGTAATTAACAAATAATCTTAACATGTTTAGGCTAATTACTAATCAATCAGTAAATGGCAACATCATATTGTTACGACACAATTTTTTTGGAATAAACCGTGCTTAAGAAATAAAAAAAAAATTACAGTGATCACTTACTAGGCTCATCTGGGGCCGGGCTCTTGGTGCACGTCTGATACAGAGTGAGGCCGCTAAAACCATCCTCTCCACTTGTTCGTGATAATAACTACTGCTCAAATCGGGATCCAGCAAAGCAGAAAATTTATTGGAATTCAAAAACGGTTTTGCCTGTAAATATATAAATCGCCAAAAAAGTCTTTCATTTTTTGTGGTCATAAGATTAAAAAAGGCTGTGGCAAAATATAACGACTGCAAAGAATTAAGAACATACCCACATAACAAGGCTCTCGTGGCCTTTTGGACAATTGTTGCTTATAGGCTTTCTACCTGACAGAAGTTCTAGAAGCACAACTCCATAAGCGTACACATCGATTTTCTCGTTTACTTTCCCGTACATGAAATATTCGGGAGCCAAATACCTGTGCAGAACAAAATGCAGAAAAGACTCGTTACTAAATAACAAAAAACCTCTATTTGGCTTTATCTTTTGCTTTTACACCAAACTAAAACACTTTCTATATGAGCAAA